TGTGAATAAACACTCCAACAGTTGTCTTCTTCACACCAAGCTTCTTGCTGGTGGTCTTGTAGCCTGTTCCAGCCTTGTGCAGGTCTACAATCGTTTACCTGATTTCCTTTGACAGCTCTTCAGTCTTGCCCATGGTGGTGAGGTTTGAATGGAGGATAGAGAAACTCTGTGGACTCTGTGGACACGTGTCTTTTAAACACATAATGAATTGTCGTTAGGAGCACCTTCTTAAATTGACAGGACTAATTTGGGCACCATATGAGCACATACCCAGTCTGTAGGAGCCAGAATTATTGTTGGTTGGTAGGGGATCACTCACTGAAATGCAAATCATTTTATAACATTTGTATCATGTGCTTTTTAGGAAATTTTTTTGTTGAAATTCTGTCTCCATCTTTTAGAATAAACTTATGATAAAGATTATAGGCCCGTCATTTCTTTGTAAGTGGGCAAACCTACAAAATCAGCAGGGGATCAAATAATTCTTTTACCCACTGTAATAAGACTGTGATTTTGAAAAGCAGATCTTATTTTCTTGCTTATAGTTAAATAACTATGCCAGTGATTTTGCATGTTTTCACCTTTTTACTGCGCTACAAAATACAGTATGTACAGCATACAACACCATACATCACAGTTAACGTTAGCAAATCATTGGAATTAAAATTTTGACTCAGCTGTTGGTTTTTATAAAATAGCATGCATTTGAAACTTGCTGACGTTGTACAATCCATGACATTGAACATCAAGCCTGCCACATTTTTGTCAACGTAACGAGGTTATGAGTGCTCACTTTTCAGTCTGCGCTTCAACTGCATGAACACATTAAAACAAAACACTGACAAAAATCAATGCAAAATGTTCTCTGTGATGGATCTAACAATGCCAGCAACTTTTAAAGTCCCTACGCACCTACAGGATTTTCCTTACAATAGTGTAAGGTTTAGACCTGATTATGTAATGTGCCTGGAAACAATTGTTGTTGTGAACACAAATAAACTGAATTGAACTGAATTGAGTTCATACAGATGTTTCCACTTATGTTGAAGGCCTCTTATGTGGGTCTGTACATTGTGTACTTGATTGGCATGTTTCTTTTGCTATTTGTTCCATTTTAGTCACAAAAAAGAACCTTTCAATGTTCCTCATAAGGAACAGTGAGAAGTATATATCCAAAGATCCATAACTGTAAAGCATGTGCTCAAATCTGCACATGGTCTGTAGTTAAGAGGCCAAACCTGGAGAAGACAGTTTGCATGTGTTGCAATGTAACTTTCATAGCAAAAAGTCGTGTAGCTTATACTTTGTTCTTATTTTCCACAAAGTCCATACAGAGACTAAAACCAACAATGACTCACATGTACTCATTGTCTGTGAATCCAGTACCTGGTTTGACATATTTGTCTGTGCCATAGATTTCACTGTTACTCAGAAACAGTTAAAAACACCAGAAAAATGTGAGGTCCATCTGTTTTCACCAAAGCTCCAAAGAACGGCCATTACTTTTTACAGTGAGAAAGAATCATCTGTGCATAGAGGTGATCCCTGCCCTGTTTACACTGCTCTGCTAGCTTCTTGTGCTACACTAGCTGTAACACTGTGACAATGGAGGTCTGTAGCACAGGCACACAAGCTAAGGCAGGTTCTGAATTCACAGCAACATCAAGGCAGTAAAATGACAGTTGCTTTAAAAGAATGAGAGTAGAGGAAAACAACAACAAGGCCCATCTGTAGTACTGTACAGCACAATTTTGCCTCTCATCAGTGCAGATACCCAAGCAGAAGGCAGTGTTGCATCATTAGCGACTATTCCAGCCTCTAATCATTAGTGGATCCCAACAGTGATTCTTTCATCTTGGCTTTTAAATATTTATAACAGATGAGCAATCCTGGATCCCCCAGCCATCGTTTGCCTGACGAATCTGTTATCGCCGAGTCCAGATTCATCTTTGATTCTTTAATCTTTAATAAAGTAAAAGCATTTTGTCGCAGCACTACCATGAAGCTGAGGGTGTGTGTCTTTGTGGTGGGTTTTAATTCCGAACGTTGGACGGTGAATATAGTCGGTTGTTGTTTCTGAGATCTTCTTGCTTCACACAGCTGTTTTCACTGCAGGCAGTTTTAAATGACTGACCCAAAATTGCTTCTGAAGAATAGCACTTTCTGCCCTTCATTGTGCCTGTGTCATGCTCTGTGATGGTAAAACACACTCCTTTGTGTTGTGTTGTCGGTTTCACAGCCTCATTTTCTGTAACAGCTGTTTCTATTAAAAAAAAAAAAAGTTTCAGGTGAGCAGTAAATTGGCCATTAGTGATATAAAGAGTGGAAAAGAGTCTCTTTGTTTCTTTTACTTTTCTCCTTTGTCTTTATTTGCCTAAATGAAATTTCTTACAGTACAGCGAAGGCCCTGAGGTGGAGGGTTGAATAGTACTGTAGAGCTGGGGAGCTGTGCATTTATAGCTCAGACCTCTTACTCCATTTAGTTGCTGTTGAGCTAATGAGGACAGTACAGTGCTACAGTACAAATCATTTAGTTTTTTTAATGTAATGAAAAATCCATTGTAAAGGATGATATACTGTACCATTAAATATTACTGACTTCCTTGAGTGCATCTGGGTCACTGCTGCAGCAAATACTAATACTATACATTAGTGGCAAGACAGAATATAAATGTAGAAGTAAGTTTGAAATATCTATCAGATTTGAGTTATTTAAACATACAAATTGACTGTGTTAACATGTTAGGAAGAAAGTAACATTTTCATAATTGGGGTCTGAGTGAAAAACATTTATGTATTTTTGGAAGGGGAGTACTATGAACTGAAATTATACTAGCATGTGCTATATGCAGTACAGTATATACAGTGGTGGATTTATTTTGCTTTGTAGTTTTCTTGTAATTAAACATTTCTTTCTTTCTTTATTCTTTTTTTTTTTTTAAACCAAATATGTTTTTTCTGAAGACATTTTACATAATGCTTCTATACTTCTTATTAAAGCTACAGTATGTAACTTTTTCAAATATTTCTGTTGTGGAAATCTGCTCCAAACTTGTCTGGATGTGGAGAGGAGCTGTCGAAGCCTCCTGTGACCCAGACTCTTTGAACAGCACTGGGAGCAGTGCTGCCAGCAGCCTCTAGAAGGTTTTGAGCAGGATTGACCTCTCTAACCGATCAGAGATTTCTAATTATTTCTGCTTGATCACTAAGTTTTGTCGCATTCTCATTTGTTGTAATTTCATAATGACAAATATCTAAAAAGCTGGGCAGTGTGTGGCAGAATGTAGTGGAGCAGGGAGAGGGTAGAGCTGGGTGGAGCAGAGTGGGTTGATTTGGAGTATCATGCCAGCGTTACCTTAAGTAACATACTGTAGTTTTAAGTAAGACTTTAAACATAAAACTCTTACTGGTCACATACAATAGCATTTTTACATTGTAGTGTTTCAGCTTTCACTTAAGTCAAAGATCTGATTAATAAATAGCAACATGAGGTGGAAACTTTTGGTTCCATGAAAGGATGCTAAAGTGTTGCCCTGTTATATAATGCACATGGTAAAATTATATAAATCTCATCAGTATACTACAGATAACACAGGCTGAGACTACCCATTTGCAACTCTATAACCTGCATTAGGAAAACGGTTTCATTTTTTACTTAAAGCTCCATCCTTCTTATGTCTAAAATTGCTGGATGGATCAATAAAATGAAATGAACTGAAGCACTTCTGAAAAGCAGAAAATGTGAGCGCAAAACACAGCAGGAGAATCAGATATTGTGTTGCCATGGGAAAGTTATCTTGTTAGGTGGTGACACAATTTAGAAATATGTATTGGGTGAAGAAATATTATGTAACAACTCTCTCCTCCCTCTCTCTCACTCCTTCTTCCCTGTCAAAGGCCGTTAGAACACCGATTACTGTTGATGTAATAAAATCCAACCAGCCAGTAAATCAAAATGACAGACACATAAAAAGCAGGGATGTGAGGATGAGGTGGAGATGGAGGAGGGTCTCTGAGTATGCAGTATGTGTTTCAGTAACTTTGGTAACTCTGCCCCTAACCCATCCCCCCTGCAGGGGCCAAAGCCCATCTCTCTACCTGCAGGGGAACTGTCTTTCCTCCAGACTCTGTTTGGTTCACTGCATCCTTACTGAGAAAGACACACAGAGATGGAAGTATAAAGGGCTGAGGGAGGAGGAGGAGTGGGTTTTGCCAACAAGAGAAGTGAGGATGCTGGTTGAGCTGGGCAGAGGAGGTGGAGTGGGATGATAGGTGAAGTGCAAGAGAAAAAGAGGAAAGAGGAAAGAGGTGGTTGGATGAAGAGAAGAGAGAAAGTCTATGCAGAGCTCATTTTTCTCTAGTTCCCTTGACTATGAATAGCAGCTCTTCTGGTAACCTCATGCCCCAGGACATGACCATTTGAATAAAAGCCTTTATCACTTCATATAATGTTTGTTGTGTGTGTGTGTGTGCACGCGCATGCTATACTGTTGGTGTGTGTGCTTTTGTGTAAGTCTGGAAATGTATTTTAACGGCCAGTACTCTGGGAAGTTAATCAGAATAACAAGAGAGACAAACAGGAAGTGAGAGAGAGGGATGAGAGAGGCAGAGGGAGTGGGCTAATTGAAGGTGGTGATAATAGGCTTGTGGAGCACGAAGGCACAGGCGAGACTTGATACTTTATTTCAGTAGGCAAATAACTGTCGTGTGTGTTGAGCTACCCACCCTCCCCCATCCTGTCTTCCTCTCTGTGTGCTCTGCCTGCTTCATGATATCTGGAACTTTAATAGAGAAAAGAGCACGACGAGCAAATATACTTGAAAGCGGTTTCCATATGTCTCTTCCATATGTCTGATAAGCTGTGGCTAGTTCCTGAAAGAAGCGACCTAAGCATCTTGTGATGTAAAGTGAGGAGAAGCTAGCACAGCTGATGAGTGGTGTTGGTGATGTGTCTCACAGTCACAAATACAAACAGCTTTTCTCTCCTTATCTTTCCTCAGCACTACTTCCTCATCATTTTTGGTCATGATGGACAGAAACCCCTGGAGCTGCGGACAGAAGAGGAGTATGAGTGCGATGAATGGGTGGATGCCATCCAACAGGCCAGGTATAGACATACAGTATAGTGGCATTATGTTAAGGATATTTCCAATGGGCATAATACAGTAGTGTTTAATTAGTTAGCCAGAAAATATTAAATAAGGTAAGATAGTCTTTATTGTCATTGCAGTCACCTATACAATGAAACTGAAAAGTGCCTCATCTAAGGTGCATCTCCTGCCTTTTCCTTTGCATGGATAAGTAAAAGTATATCATATCATTTTGTGTAACCACAGTTTGATACAGTTTTTTGGCAGTTTGCTATTAAAATGACATGCTTTTGCAGCAGGGGCTTTTGAAAGTTCATCCTTATGGAATCTGAGAATTGGCTTTTGAGAATCACTGCATGCACATTGCTGGAAAATCAAACCTGGAAGATAATCTGCTCATTGTTCTGAAACAAAAAAAAAAGTACTGTGATTAAATAAGATTAAAATTCCACACAGGATGGATAAGCACACATGTGATTCACCCAGTAGCATTCATGTTTGTTGTTTCTGTTATGCCCTCACCAAGATACACAGCGTGGGACAGCAGCAAGCAATGAGATTTGCAATTTCTGGTATAGGCTAAGTAATATTTATAAAATATAAAATACAATAATAATCTCTGTATATGTCTGTGGACGTGTTCTCTTTCAGTTATTCTGACATCATCATCGAAAGAGAGGTGTTGATGCAGAAATACATCCACCTTGTACAGATAGTGGAGACTGAGAAAGTGGCAGCCAATCAGCTGCGAACCCAGTTAGAGGATCAGGACACAGAGATTGAGAGGCTCAAATCGGAGGTACAGCACATGTGCAGACACTAAAACACACACACACATGCATTCGTCCAGATAGTCTTTAAATCAAACCCCATTTTCATAATATTTTCAGTCAGTATCTTTTTCAGCTTTTTAAATGGATTTGCATTCAGTGTCTGCTTCTCCCTTGTTGTAGTCAAATGCATTCTAGACTGGATGCATACTTTTAGTAGGGAGAGAGCACATGGGTGTGGGTGTGAACGATTCTCAGTCACCTCTGAGCGTAGGAGGAGAAACCCACCGCTCAATAGCCCATCAGCTGCTTTACAAATAGCTGCCAAACTGTTATGCTTATCAGATGCAACACATTTCTCTCCTGCTTTCACAGCACAATAAATCAGTGCATCGCTGCAACCAACCTCTACAACATGGTTAATCAGAACTATTGATTCTTACTTATACACCTGACAGCAGGTAATTATTGGTATAGATGAGCTTTCAATCCCAACATCAATGTTAAACTGTTAAAAAAGCACATATACATGTACATCACTTATAAATGAATCTAAAACCAAGATGATTGTTTATTGTATTTCACTGGATTTGTATTATAATGATATGATTGTAATGTGTTATTGTCTCACAAAATTCTCATGTCCAAAGTTAAAATTCCAAACAAACTGCAGACAAAAACTAACAAAATTACTTAACGACAGTTTTGACACACATTTGAAAAGTTTCTCTTGTATAAAATATAGTGTTACAGTTACTGGATTAAAAAACATTTTGGTTATTGTATTTATGAATTACAAGTACTTGTGATACTGACATTTGAAAACAACAGAAGGGCTGCAAATGGCAGGCTGTCATGGAGAGGGTAGGTCCTGTTTTCATTTGATTTATCAAACAATGTGTAAAATCTTAGTTAACACACCTTTAATGTGCAGGTGCATAATTGAAATTGACTTGTGGTCTGCACCATAGTTGGCCCCAGTGGGTGCTATTTGCTTGCTGGGCCACTAATATTTCCACAAACCACACCTACATTGTCATTTCCAGTTCTGCCTCTGCTCATCTGTGTCAATAATCACTTGTAGAAACACTTTGCTTGTAAACCTTTTCTGTCTTTGGGAAACAAAAACGGTTTGAATTATTTAATGGATGAGTCTGTTACTCTGCTTTTACTTGTAAAAGCAGTAAGTGCAGCAAAAACTTCTCCTACACACTGTTATATACAGTTTGTGTATCTTGGTGGCAGGATGCACTGTGGGTCCAACTGATATGAAATGTTAAAAGACATTCTTATTAGGGAACATCTGCTTGTGTGATGGGGAAGCTTATAAAAAAACAAACAATTAAAACCCGGGTGCAATTGGTGATCCATCTCATTAAACCACACTTTTGTTTGTTTGTTTATGTTTGAGTCGCTCCATGTTTATGAATAATTAAACCAACTAGTCAGTGTAAGTGTCAGCGCTTGGCAGACTGGCTCCTCTCTGCTGCCATTGCACAGTAGCACAAGTGGACAGGAAAATAAAGATGAAAGTGCAGGTCTGAAAATGGCTTGGGTGTCTTTGTTCATCGTTTTCTCCATGTGTGAAAAACTGATGTTGTCAAGAGGTTTGAAGGTAAAAACAAGTAGCTGAAGGTAATGCAGTAGTAGAGCGTATCTGAACCTCTGCTGAGTTTGTAGTTGGTCATCACTGTTATTGACAGAGAAGTGGTGCTGTCTGTTATTAGGTTAGCAATGTGAAATGAAATTTTTTCCACCGCTCAATGGCACTTCCAGTTTGGCATCTGCTCGGCTTTTTCCCTTTGTGATGTGTCTTGTGTGTTCCTCTGTTTTAATATGTGGATGATGAAATTAACTTCGTGGTTAGCAGTTGGGCTTTGTTGAGTAGATGTCACAAGTGTAAAAGCTAATGTGACTCTGTTGTCTGAAGAGAGCATTTTATCGCTGTTAAAATGATACAAGAGCTGGCATATTTCATAGATTAGTTTCTACTAGTATAGGAAAACATTTTCAGTAGCACAAGATTATACTTTCTCTTCATTGCCTTCTGTCTCCTATGATGCGCTACAGGTGATCGGGCACATATCAGTTTTAATTTGTTTACTGTCACCAGCTAACCCCCACCCCCTTCATCATTCTCTCTTTCTGAATGAAGACACCAGATTGTTGTCATATACTATACCTCTGAAGATCATTGCTTGTTTTAAATGATATTTTAATGTTGTCTTTTGTGCAAATATTTAGTCACCCACATTATTTGTAACTGGATTTTCTCTTGAAAGATTGTAGCTCTTAACAAAACTAAGGAGCGAATGCGGCCTTACCACGTCCCTCTTGAAAATGAAGACCCGGATATCAAAAAGATAAAAAAGGTAAATAAATCAATTCTACATTATTTTTCAGATAAGGTAGAATTTAAATTTTCTGTGGTTTTGGTTTCTGTAAACTGTTACCTCTAGTTTATTGCCTGTGATTTCTTGCTTTTTTAGCATGTTGCATATACAGAATATGAGTTCTCCATTCATCCTTGTCTAAGCTTCCTTCTTTGTGTCTGCTCAGGTGCAGGGTTTCATGCGGGGCTGGCTTTGTCGCAGGAAGTGGAAGATCATCGTTCAGGACTACATCTGCTCTCCCCACGCTGAGAGCATGAGGAAGAGGAACCAGATTGTTTTCAACATGGTGGAGGCAGAGACAGAGTATGTACATACCTTATGCATCGTGTAGTACAGTAGCAGCCACTATTGAAAAGTTGTCACTATTGTTGAGCTTTCTAGTACATGATGTTTTTTCACTGCGTAGGCTGTGGCTGAGGAAAGGATGCTCTCTATGATGTGTTATACTGTCTGCACTGTACATTCTTACCACTCATATCCGCACTCAAGAGTACACACACATACACTGACACATGGGAAACACACACATGCACTTAGATGGATATAGTTTGATAAATAACGAGGTTTTTTAACAGGGTGTATAGGGTGATATGAGGATAAAACTGTGAGAACACAGTGCTATGATCAGCGTCTCAGTGCTGTCTGATAGGCCAGCCTTTTCCAGCTACTGGTAGGATTTCCCAGTGTCAGCTACCTCAGTTATCTGTCAGTGGGAGGTGGCTGATGGTAGCTCCACTCTTGAACTTGTATTCATACCCATTCCTTGTGATGATAGGACTGAGGGGGTTCACTTGTGCAAATGGTCTGGAGTTGACTTCCAGGGTTGTTCTCCACAGACCCATTGAGTTCTTAATGAAAGTCCTTATGTCCTGCTGACTTTGTGTAGTGCCAGGCAGACACGGTTCCCAGAGCCGTGTGTGGCATTGAGTCATAGGCTTTCCTGTAGTCGATCCAGGCTGTGCTCAGGTTGGTCTGTCTGGATCCTGAGTAACTGGTGACTTCTCTACCTATCAGCAACTGGTGTTCTGAGCCTCTGGTGTTGTTCCAAATGTCCCTCCTAGCTATGTTCATGTACTGGTTCTTGAGGACCTGTGCCTTGGCAGCTATGATACCTGATAGGACCTTCCATGTTGTGGAGAGGCAGGTTATTGATCGGTAGTTGGATGATCCCTCCATATACCTATATATTAAAAAAAAACAAAAAACTTTATTTTAGCTTGAGGGTCCTGCACAGTATCTTAGCTGTTCCTAGAACTGCACTCTTCTGGACAGAGATCTCAAATGTTGTTCCTGGGATCTGTTGGAGCCACTCTCCCAGTTTGGGGGGTCACAGCCCCCAGTGTTCCTATTACCACAGGGACCACTTCATCTACCACATCTTTTCTAGCACTTCTTTCAGCCCTTTTTACAGCATTTCTAGGAACTGACTTGTCTAAAGTCTTTGCAAGGCAAAATCCAGAATAATCCAGGTTGTACATATTAGTCTGTCTATTTCCACTTTGTCCATGTGTATGTGTGTGTTGACAGGTATGTCCACCAGCTCTTCATCCTGGTCAACTGTTTCCTCAGACCATTGAGGATGGCTGCCAGCTCCAAGAAGCCCCCCATCAGCCACGATGATGTCAGCAGCATCTTCCTAAACAGGTGTAAATGTGTTTGTGTGTGATTAACCAACACCTTCTGTCCATCTTTGCATTTAACTGAATCACTGAAGTGTGGAGGCACAAGCAGAGACAGCTACTGAACAATAAAGCCTCTTTTGTCATTTTGTTTTCACACTGCATTTACACTGTGTCTTCAGTGAGACCATCATGTTCCTACATGAGATTTTCCATCAAGGTTTGAAGGCGAGGATAGCCAACTGGCCGACTCTGGTGCTGGGTAAGGTCTTACTTAACACGCACGTACACACTATGTGCATATACACTGCAGCCACTCAGTGGCATCAAGGTCAGGTTTTTAGTGGTCCTCCACATCCTGTTTGTCTCACAGAAGCGTCAGTTGTGACGTCTTACTGCCTCATTCACACACGCACACACACGCTCATTTCCCTATCTCAGTCTGCAACACGCACAGTCACTGTGTTCACCGACAATACCCACCCAGACCAGAAGGCATCCCACGATTTCACCTCCTAAAACATAAGCCCTCTCAACAGAGAAGCATCACCAAGGAGACAGACTGCTGAAAGACGTGGCAGCAAATTACTTGTGACAGTTCAGAAAGACAAGGGTCCACTGATTAAACATTCCACCCTGATCTGACTCCCTGCTTCAGGCAGATGCTAAATGTAGAGTTTGACCAACAGTATGTTTTACATAAAATCAATTTCTGTAGTGTTTTTAAGGCTGATTGTTATCGAAATATTTATTAATATGCTTGTAAGCTGCACTGACTTTGCACCAATAAATAGATATGTCAGTTTCTAATCAATATAATGAGGGCATCTGATTTTCTGTGGTTATTTTATTCTTTTGAGGGCAATAAAAACCACAATTATCCAATCAGTCTCTGCAGTAAACTAAGAACTAGCATCTGCTCATTATGAGTGTAGATGCACAGCTACGCAGTGAGCGAAACACATTTCCAACAAAGGCTGAAGACAGCAGTTATTACTGGAAGCTATTGTTTTTGATAAAAAGACAAGAGTGACTACAAATGAAAAAAAAGATTAGAGACAATAAACACTCCAAATTTATTGTAAACATACTGTAGCAACAAGCAAACTGAATTCAGAACTGAAAGGCCAACATTAAGTCCCGATAGGAAGCACAACATAGTAATTAATCTAGTAAACACGCACATACTAAAAGTAAAAGTGCACTTAGCCAAACCATGATTTAACAGTTAGCAATGTCATGTCTGAGCTAGTGTCTGTTCCACTAGCTTCTGTAACCCAGTTCAATCTCTAATTTAGCATTTTTTCATTAGTCTTTATGAAAAAAAAAAGTATTTTAAGAAGTCAAAACCTTCAAGATTTTAACAAGGTTAAACAATATTTCCACTGTGAGCAGAGAAAACGCTACCCCCACCACAGACGTACCGGGTTACACACATGATATGAAATACTAATATGATTTTAAATAAGACTGTCTTCTTTTCTGACAGACAGTATAATGGCTAGCTTGGTTAGTAGCAAACAGACTGCAGAAAAATAAAATTCTACTTAATCACAAATCAACAATCACAAAACAGCTACAAGAAAAATGCACCAGCAGATAAAGCTTCAACAAGGGCATCTGTGGGATACACAAAAGATGCTTGTCAGTGTTTGCTTGTCACAGATCTGACAGAAAGCCCAGATTAAGACTGTCACTTTAGCTCCTGTTGAATTCTCCAGGAGTGGCTGCTATAGTAGCATAATGAAACCAAAACCAGCTGCTGGTGACATACTGTATACTGGATTTCTGGATTTGTACCCTCGTGTAACTTACATGCTGTATACAGTCCTTTACGCATTTTTTGTCTGTGCTTCATATGTGTATGTAAGTATGCACGTGTGTGTGTTTGTGTTTGCAGCCGACCTGTTTGACATCCTGCTGCCCATGCTAAACATCTATCAGGAGTTTGTGCGAAACCATCAGTACAGCCTGCAGGTTTTAGCCAACTGTAAGCAGAACAGAGACTTTGACAAGCTGCTGAAACAGTATGAGTCCAATGCCGCCTGCGAGGGAAGGATGCTCGAGACCTTCCTCACGTATCCCATGTTCCAGGTAAAGAATGAGCAGCAGTAAACATACTGTAATACATATGCAATCTATGTTTCAGCTCAGTTCTTGCCACCATCTAAGCTATTTTTTAAAATAAATTGTTCATATATTTTTCCTGTTTTCATATTGGCCCTCTCTCCTGTAAGATTCCCAGATACATCATCACCTTGCATGAGTTATTGGCACACACACCTCATGAGCATGTGGAACGCAAGAGTCTTGAATTTGCCAAGTCCAAATTAGAGGAGCTCTCCAGGTATGGCCATGGCTGTCTGAATAATCAGCTTTCATGATGGATCTTGATATTGAATATTGGACTTACTGGAATGTTTGTGTGTGACCAGAGTAATGCATGACGAGGTGAGTGACACGGAGAACATCAGAAAGAACCTGGCCATAGAAAGGATGATAGTGGAGGGCTGTGACATCCTGCTGGACACCAGCCAGACCTTCGTCAGGCAGGGTGAGTGTTCATCAGCTGACAGCAGGACTCAACACATGGCAAAGCCCTGCAGGTTAACTTGACAGTAAGACCTCCCTGCCTGTCAATTTGTGATCTGGGAGCACAGACATGGTACCTTGGTGCAGCTCAGCCACTGAATCATGATATTGCTGTAGCTACAGTAGTAGTAGTAGTAGGGTGATTTGGATTTTTGTCAGCTTGTCCCATATAAATGTGACTAATTTAAAACAAAAATAAGGATATGTTCATGATAAAAAAAAAAGTATGTATTAGTACTTTCAAACTAAGTGTTGTACATTCACATATAAAACTGCCAGACCAACTAGAAGTTCTCATTATTTCACTGTGCAGATAAGTGGACTGATAAATGGATGCTAAAGTCCTAATGTGGAGCCCTGGTGTCAGGGCAGTCTGCCTGATCTAACAAAGCAGTCATGTTTGATCACTTTTATCTCATGTGTACTGCATAATTTGTATTTAATTGGCCTTCTATGACCTGAAGCGACAAGTGGTTAAAGTAACAATCCCATAAAGACCAGAGCCCTTAAGATAGAAGAGATGCAATACTGAGAGGTCAAAAATGGCAGTATGTCACATAACTCATGAACCTTAAAATAGTTCCAAACAGCTGATTCAGACCCATTGTTTTCTATAGAGAACAGTGTGTTTTATCACCACATTAATACTTTTAATGACTTGAACAGCCTTGCAGACTACTTCTGTGTTGTGCTGTCGTTGATGGCTCAGCTAATTTAGCTAGCTGCTAAGTACCTAGTTATTAAAGTGACACAATATTTGAGAGAGACAGTCAAAAGGTTGTTAAGTGTTTTGATATGCCACTAACTTAAAATGTCACAAGTATAATTGATGCTATTGATTTCAACTTCTTACTTCAGAAGATAGCAGCCAAGTCAGTGAAACTCTGTGGTGCTGCTCCACTGCTATTCAGTGCTCCCATGATCTGCCATTACTGTAAAAACAACAACAAAACGGTCCTTATAGAGTCACCGGAGAGGTGGTCACTCTCCTTCTTAATCTAGACTAACAAAGACACTGATTCAAACCATGTAAAGTCTTTCTTATGGTATGGTATGGTATTTCTTGAGAAATACATTTATATTTGCATTGGTGTTCTCACAGATGTGACGTTTGTCACATTCATGTTTGCACCACCGTGAACACCTAGTAAATCCAGCCCTCAGCTCAGTGTCAGCTTAATGAAATGTAATCCTGTGTCCCTCCTGACTTTCAGGCTCGCTGATCCAGCTGCCGTCAGTGGAGCGAGGGAAGCTAAGTAAGGTCCGTTTGGGTTCTCTCTCTCTGAAGAAAGAAGGGGAAAGGCAGTGTTTCCTCTTTACCAAACACTTCCTGGTCTGCACACGCAGCTCCGGGGGAAAACTGCACCTTCTCAAGGTGAGAACACTGTTACTCTGTGGTTTGTGAGAAAACTGTTTTTGTTAATCAGTAACAACTTTTACCCAAAATTCCAAAAAACATTGCACATATTTTCTCTTAAACTCTTGCAGCAAGGTGGAGTTTTGTCCCTAATTGACTGCACACTTATAGAGGAACCAGATGCCAGTGATGAGGAGTGTAAGTGCTGTGCATGCACTGTATGAAACAGTGTGCCCATGTTGGTCGACACACAGGCAGCTCTTATTGGCTCTTTGAGGCCTTTCACCGCTCACAGAGGTTAATTGGGTGTCAGACCAGAAATTACTTCTCTTTAAATATCAGATTCTCACCTTTGTAAATGTCAGGTTTTGATCTTTTAAAATTACAGTTACATTTTTTTCACAACTCCTGCACAGAGACAAACACAGACGAACAACACACTTAATGAGACAATCCCTTGCCTCTTACACACTACCTTTACACTTAAGCCTCGGGGATGCACAGAGTGGAGATAGCAGGTCAGCTTAATTAACCCTTTGTATGTATTTGTGTGTGCACAAGCATGTTTTTTTTTACTCTTGTTATCATTAAGTGGTTTGGTGTACTGTAAAAAGCTTTTTCCTTCTGTCACACAGCTAAAGCTGGTGGTCATGTTTTTGGTCAGCTGGACTTTAAGCTTGTAGTAGAGCCATCAGACTCACCTTCATTCACTGTGGTGTTACTGGCGCCATCACGGCAAGAGAAGGCTGCATGGACCAGTGATATTAGTCAGGTAATGCACAAAGTTGCAGAAACACACACCCAGACAAACAGAATAACACGAACCTCCAGATAGCGAAAGCATGTCTCCACTGGGCATTGAGAAGATGTAGTAATAAGTAAACATAGACACAGGTGCAGTTCTCTAGGGGTGATTTTATCTTGCTGCTTCAGTACTTCACAAACAGAGTCACACCATACTGGCATGTCAGACAGGATTAACTCTTATCAGAACAAAAATACACCGACAGTTTTAAATAGCTTCTTTTTTCCCATGTCACTTCCTTGTGCTTATTCCTTGAAATCATTTCAAGGCAATTCTCTGCAGTGGTTTTGAATCTCAAAGGAGCACACAGAAAAACAAATTAGTTCCAGTGTCAGTAAATCTAGAGAATTTTTTTCCATTCATATATTTAAAGCTGCAGTATGTAACTTTTTATAAATATTTTTGTTCTAGAACTCTGCTCCAAAACTTGTCTTAGAACTGAGCTTCTAAAAGGTTTTGAGTGGGTCTGACCTCTTTAACTGATCAGAGATTTTCTAATTATTTCTGCTTGATCAGTAAATTTTGTAATGTAATGTAATGACAAATATCTAAAAAGCTGGGCAAAGTGTGGCAGACTGTAGTGGAGCAGGGAGAGGGAGAGCTGGGTGGAGCAGAGTGGGTTGATTTGGAGTATCATGCCAGTGTCACCTAAAGTTACATACTGTTGCTCTTAATGTCGGAGATTCCATCAATCAGCTGCTTTAAACATTGTAGTTAAAACATGAAAATAATTTCCAAATTTCCTCATGTTGTCGTTACTGTCTCTGTCTCTGTAGTGTATAGATAATATTCGCTGTAATGGTTTGATGACCAGTGTATTTGAGGAGAACTCCAAAGTCACTGTACCTCATATGATCAAGTAAGTATGTTTGTGCCTGTGAAGAGGAACACCCATCTCTTCATGCCAGTGTTGCAAAACATAAGTTTATATTGTAGCAGGGTGAAAATATTAGTTGTGCTGATGTACAGTAGATACGCTATGTATTATGCATTTATTTTTCTTTATTTATGCTGTTGGTGAAATCTGCTCAAAGTATCCTCAAAGTATGCGTTCTTCTTTGAAATGCTGTAAGTGCATTTGTATTTTGCATTTCTTTTTGCTCAGCTACTTTCATAGCAGCTCAGCAGTCACCCATGCTTGGTTATGTGTGTGTATGTGTGTGTATGTATGTATCCATCAGATCTGATGTCCGTCTCCATAAAGATGATGTTGACATTTGCTTCAGCAAGACGCTCAACTCCTGCAAGGTCCCCCAGATCCGCTATGCCAGTGTGGAGCGGCTGCTGGAGAGGCTGACTGACCTGCGCTTCCTCTCCATAGACTTCCTCAACACCTTCCTGCACACGTACAGGATCTTCACCACAGCAACAGTAGTCATGGACAAACTGGCCGACATCTACAAGAAGCCTTTCTCTTCCATACCTATCAGGTCATACATTGCATACACACAAATATAACCTTACAAACACAGAAAAGGGCAGATGTAGATGGAGATCACACACACACTGTGAACATTTATTGCTGCAAAGGAGACAATGGCGTCTTATAGATCCTCACAGAATGCACTGGATGACATTCTTTATCAACGTGTGTGCATTTGTCATGCTACTTGTGTGTATGTCTGTTTGGGTTTGTATGATTTTGTTTTCATACAAACATAAAAATGTGAGGGTGGTGAGATACTTTAATTCATTTCCCCCTCATCAGTTAATGATGTAGTCAGATGTTTACAGTGTTTTGGACTTGGCAGGCAGCTTCTGTCCTCAAGGTTAAACACATACTGGCTTAACATACCAGCCTGTGTAGAGGCCAGCAGATTTTTTGGCAACATCATTGGAATATATTGCATGTTGAATGCATTTTTCTTTTCTCATGCTTTCTCTCTCTTGTTCAGTCTCTGACTGCATCAGAATTGTTTGCTTATATTTCATCCTTACATTACTTAGCTTTTCAACTGGAAAAGCGCTGTCTTTTCCTCTGCACAAGGACAGAGGAAAAGGTAGGTAATAGTAGGGGTAGGTAATATTCAGCCTATTGTAGTTACATCTTGTGCTGCCCCTAATTGGCCAGATACAAAATATAGGTTTAAATAACATTTACACACTGTAAAAATACAAGTAATAGTTAGAATTATAATATTTATTTATTCATTAATGAGATTCATGATAGTCAAATGGCTGGCATTAGGGAGTGGAAATGATATGATCCACTGTGGAGGTCTTTAAGGTGTGTGTGCTGTATTTGATGCTTCTTCATGGCATGAAGGTTGCCTCCATTCAAAGTAAACTGCAACCTTGTTTGTTGCTGCTTCTCAGAAAGCTCGGGTATCTTTTTTTGGAGGATCTGGCTCCCACACTGTAGCTGGCAGAAAGCTGCTAATCTGTCCGTTCTGACTGCAGCTTTCTGTCACCGCCTCCTGCTCCCATCATCTGCTCTCATCCGCTGTCCAGGCAAGATGCAGTGCATCTCAAACAAGCGATAGAGAGGGCAGAAAAGAGCACCGGCAGCATGTGAGAAGTGCCCATATGCAGAGAAAAGATCCTGGTTTGAGAAAGAGTAAAATACAGAAGTGCCTGTACTGCGTATCAGCACTGCTCTGAATGGAGCAGTGGTTGTACTGGTTGTACTGGGCAGCTTGCAGGTGTGAATGTGAAGAGGGCAGCCCTGAAAAAGAGAGGTGGCATCTCCCTGAATACATAAAGGTTACAAAAAAATCTCCAGAGAGACTGTGTAATAGGACGTTTATAAAGAAGATTTAATTTATTCCCATAATGTGTTCATTATTTTGATGCTTTTTAATCTTGTGTATTTATATTTTATGCCTGTTTGATAGTTTTTTAGGTGACATCTTTCATGGTTTACCTTTGTAGTACTTATTTTACTCTCTTTTACTGGTGACCTGATCCTGACCCTTGATCCTTCCATCTAGCACCAAAATGCCTCCAAGTGCCCTTTTGGTTGGCTCATACCTATAGTCAACGTGTCTCTATTCCATTATTAACCCTGCATTTTCTCGTCATTCTGCCTGCTACAGTTACGGACACACACATGATTACATACATACGTGTATACACACAAAGATTCTCAGACTTTAACATAGCTCTCTGTGTCCCTTTTGCGATGAATCGTTCTGCCATGTGGTCAGAGTACTGTATGTTGATTTCTGGGAGACTGAACATATGCAACTGTTTGCTGACTCACGCTGCCTCCCCTCCACCTCAAACACACACTTTTTCTAATCCATGTATCATCCTTCATCCGATCATCTACCTTCAAATATCTTCCTATTTCTGTCACATCTCTTATTTCATGTCTCAATTCAACCATCACACTGCTCCATTTAATAATTTTTCTGTCATCCATCTTTTTGTCTCTTCATGTCCCTCCCAACTATAGGGCGCAGTACTACTCATTTGAACATCTGTCAGTCTCACCCATCTGTCATGACTACAGTCTGAAGATCAAGAAGATACCCATGGATCATTCTAAGTAATGAACTGTTCTCTCTCTGTCCTCCTATTCCTGCCATTCTTCCTCCCCTCAGGTCTTGATCTGATACTTCACCAATACTTGACTTTGCTATCTACCTGCTATCTATCTTTTTATATGAATAATTAACAACAGCTCACTATGGGCTGTAATTTCACCAGTATTTTAGGTTGATGATTCGTAGAGAGAAATGTGAATCTGCAGCTGGTCTGTAGCGTGATTTTTCACTGGAGCATCATTTCCTCATGGCTGTTTTTTTTTTATTTCTGTATTCTTATTAATCCTTTTTCTGATTGCTTCCTGTCTTTCCACTGCTTGCTTCAAATCTCTTCAGCATTCCTCCTTCATACGTTTCATGTATTTTTCCTTCTTCTATCCTCCTTTCATTTCTCCACCTGAGATGCTATTTTTTCCTCCATTTTCTGCTGAATGACAGGCTCGTGTGAATCAGTGATGGTGACGATTTATCAGTGCATGATTTCTCCTCCCTTGATGCTGCGCTTTCTGTGTGGTGCTAATGTCATCAGTAAACTGAAAACTTGATTAAAGCCATTGCACTTTAATTGCATTTTAAAACTGTAATCTGCAATAGATTTTTTTTTTTTTTTTTTTTTATGAAGCAGGTACATGAAGTGATGAGTGGGTTCCTGTTTTTGTTTTTGTTTTTTGATCTGGCACTAAAACTATATTCACAGACTTTAGCTTTAAGGGGTTATGAGGGGTCATGTACACATTTACACATTTGCTGAACCAAACAGTAAGTCACCTTCCCTCAGTCAATTGAGCATACTGTATGTTTAATTTGCTAAAGACCACGAGGCAACAAACACCATTTAAAGCTAATATGATGAATATTTGCATGTCACGAAAGGTTTTTGGCACATTCTGTAAAGCATCACTTTTCATTTAGAGATCTGTTCTGTTCACTTGACAAATGTACATCCAATATTTACTCTCTTTTAGCTTTGTTTTGGTCACCACCAGCTCAAGGTATTATCTGGCTCTCTACCTGCTAAGTTTTCTCACTACTGTATGTTCACCAGTTAGTCACCAACTGTGTCAAATTACTGTTGTAATGTACAGTGAATTTATCATAAACTGAAACCGACACTGGAGAGTGAACCAAAGCAGTTAGCTGATAGTGGCTATGAAGCTCCGTGGAGCTGATGAGATGGACACAACTTTTCATTGTTATTGGAGAACCATGCACACAAAGGTCTGAAATTCCGGTGGATATAAATGCTCTCAACTTAAAGCTAAAAGTCAGTCCTTTAATTACAAAAACATTGTTCTATTTCTCACCCAGTTTGCTGGTGTACAGACATTAAATTTTTTGTGTCACTGTTCAAATATTTTCTGACTACACTGTGAGTGCCCAATCATTAAGTCACTCTGAATAACTACATTAGCTAAATGCCCCAAATTTAAGAGTGAATGCCCCAAGCTCACTCAGTACTTACTGCCCTTGTCTTTTTTTATGAATTCTGAGTGCACGATTTTCATCTTATTTTGATCCTAAACCAGACATTTTTCTCTAATACAGGACACCTAGTGTATGTGACAAAATCCATTTGCAAATGGATCATTTATAGTTTGGAGTATAGAGACTAGAAAGGTCTTGTTTAGAGCTGTTGCAATTACACTTTTTATCAGCTCTGTCATTATTGCTTTTTAATAACATATTATTTCCTAACATTTTGCTTTTTTCTGTATCTCAGGTCCTTGGAGCTGTTTTTTGCCACCAATCAGAATAGCAGAAGTGGTGAGCATATAAATGACAAATCTCCTCGTCTCTGCCGAAAGTTCTCCTCTCCCCCTCCTCTGTCCATCCCATCCCGCACCTCTTCTCCTGTCAGAACACGAAAGCTTTCCCTCCACTCCCCCATCTCTGCCAGGGTCGGAGGCCTTGACTTAACCAGTCCTGTGTCAAACCAGTCCACCGTCAACCATAACACTTCCAAGTCTGCTGGTAGTAGTCCCACATCTGCCCACACCCCCCAGACTCCAACTCCTCACACCCCAAATTCAACTACCTCCTCTCCTCCTTCAACTTCCACCTCTCCCCCACCCAACAATTCCAAATCACCACAGGACCAAGTACCTTCCATTCCCTTTTCCCCGGACCAGAGTCCCTGCCCGACCACAGAGGGGGAGGAGGTGCCCAGGATTGACCCTTTCTGTGGAAAACTGCGGCGAAGCATCCGCAGAGGTACGCTGTAGTCTTCAAACAATTAAAAAACACTTATAGGTACTGTTCTAACCTCCTCTGCTACTGTACCATGCATACAGAACCATGTAGCCATGTGCCAGTTGGTAATGTGTGCATGTTTGTTCTACAGGTACAGTGTAAATGAACATCAACATGTAGAGCTTTATAAGCAAACTGAAAAGCTTATGAAGAACTGGAGGTCACTAATCAAATGACACAGCATGAAGTGCTTTCTGTGAGAGCAGAACAGGCATCTGCTGGAACATCATTATGTCGTTTCTTATGTGTGCTTGAGTCAGCAAAGCTCACTGCCACCACAGTGCACAGATCTTGTAGTGGTGTTCAAACAGCCTTCTCAGACTGGAGAGATGACTTTAGAGCATCTCAAGCAGCACAGCAAGAACAAGCTGCAGTTAGACCTCATTAGCATGTGCTTACATACACATTCTAAGTGGACATGAATCAGATATCTATGGATTCAGGTTCACTGGTTGTATTGTGTGTGATCTCTCCATGACTGTGAACTTAATATGCGATAATGTTCTATTTTCCAGTAGGAAAGCAAAAGGAACAGCCACCACCATGACCATAGCCATCATTATCACCACCACCATTATCGTAACTCTCCTCTCCTCCTGTGTAGCTGTGCTGGAGTCAGTGTCACTGGAGAAAATCCTTCCAGAGTCTCCTCAGAGCAGTGAAGCAGGGGACATGTCTCCATGTCGTTCCCCTTCCACACCTCGACATCTCCGCTACAGACAGCCCGGAGGCAAGACATAGTGTTATATGTGTGTGTGTGTGTGTGTGTGTGTGTGTGTGTGTGTAGTTTATGACTCGTAATGAAACCACACAGTCAGAAATCGTTGCAGTGGGAAGTTTGGTGCCCACTGACAGGCTTGTATGCAGAGCCACAGAGCTAGATCCCTGACGCTGGAGGCTCACATCTGTAATACAGCAGCATAACATAAAACTCAAACACTAAACCAGGGTATAAATGGTTTTGTTACATACGTTTTGTTATGTTTTTAAGAAATGAAAGTTCATTTTTAAATACTTGTGGACCCTCCCCTGCATGATAAATGTGACAAAACATTCTGAGTGTATTGTTAGTTTGGATGATAATTACCGCATGTGTTTGTGTGTCTGCAGTCCAGTCAGGAGAGAACACGCGCTGCTCAGTCTCTCCTGCCTCAGCCTTTGCTATCGCCACAGCCGCAGCAGGGCACAGTACACCACCAGGTACACATATACACTGATCACAAAAAGTGTAAACATTTTTTTTAAAGATTATTGTTCAAAGTGAATGTGAGTAAAATGAGCAAACTGAATCAATATGTCTTAATATGGCAGATACACAGTGACTTGAATACATACAGTAGTGGCTTGTTGTGTTTCTGCAATAGTTAACTAATGCAGTAAAATATAAAGGCTACAGGCCTGAAAAGGTTACATAAGTAGGAAGAAAATAAGGAAATACTGTGCCTTCTGTGCGCTTTATTTATAAGACAGCTCTAGTTTGGTAGTTTTTATGTGTAGTTGACAAGAAGATGCAGTATTGAAAATACTGAAACAATAAAAACATTAGAGTTAATTCACCCAAATTACAAAAAATGTATACTATTTTACTTACTAATTGATCCAGGTTAGTAGTTTTGGTTTCTTTCCAGAAGCAATGTACTTGTTACTTTTATTTACATAATTTAAAGCTATTAAACCTAATTTCCTTTCAGCCACAAGAGGGTCTAGTGAGAGAAATAACTATTGTGAGGACAGGCTGGGCGCGGTGGTTAGCACTGTTGCCTCCAGCAAGCAGGTTCTGGGTTCGAGCCCCGGCCAACCTGGGGCCTTTCTGTGCGGAGTTTGCATGTTCTGCCCGTGCTTGCGTGGGTTCTCTCTGGGTGCTCCGGCTTCCTCCCGCAGTCCAAAGACCTGCAGCATAGGTTGATTGGTGTCTCTAAATTGCCCATAGGAGTGCTTGTGTGTGTGTGTGGTTGTTTGTCTGTGTGTTGGCCCTGCGATGGGCTGGCAACCTGTCCAGGGTGTACCCCGCCTTTTGCCCGCAGCTGGCTGGGATTGGCTCCAGCCCCCCGTGACCCCGTTTGGGACTATGTGGTTTAGAAAATGGATCGATGGATGGTAGAGAAGCTGGAATAATGACAGAATGTCTGTAGGCAGGGAAATGTCCTGGAGGGTGGTTGTATAGCAGAGAGACACCACATCCTGTCCCATTGTCACTTGATTTATCTATTTAGTTTGCAAAATTTGTAAAATCTCTCTCTCTTTTTCTTTTTTTATTTTAATTGTCCTTGCAGTGTTTACTAACTCTGAAAGAACTTGTGATAAAGAATTCATCATCCGCCGGGCTGCAACTAACAGAGTTCTCAATGTGCTGCGCCACTGGGTCTCCAAACACTCACAGGTCTGTCTGCGCCCACCAGCGTCTCTCTGTTTGTGTGATGTCCCTGTTTTGCTGCTGTGATCCAGTCTGTGGTCTCATTAAAGCAGGTGTCTGATGTGCTCTTGCTCTGCTCCACTGCTCTCACTAAGCAAGTAAGCAGCTACGTGCGTGCGAATGCACACTGTATACTGCTGCCGTGCCAGTTGGACCACCAGCTCATCCCACCTTTGTCCACCTACCCATACTCTTGTATTAAAAATCCACTGTTGCCTATAATGAATTGATTGTGAGGGTAATTGCCTGACTCCCTGCAGAGAGGTCCTTTCAGTCTAATTGCATCGATCTGTTTTATGATTTTTTTTTTAATAATGCAAAATGCTGTGATATCAGGCCAGCTCTAGCCGGTTTATTAACACACAGGCAAGCGCAAATAACACATACTGTATACACCCACTCAGTTTTCTTTTGGAGTCCATAAAACAAAGAGCTTGTTAAAACTGACCTTTGACAGTTAAATTGGGGGAGGAAGGAAAAGAGGAAATTGGGAGGAACAGTAGGTGTTAAGGCTGGAAGAAAGGTTCAGGAGGAGGATCAAGAAGACTGGACAGCTGGAAAATATGAAAGTTTATACAGCAGCGACTGGTAATTGATTAGATGGGGAGACTAGAGGAAATCAGTTATGTAGAGAAAGGAATAAAGACTGTACATACAGTAATATTATGGTTTGTGTTTGTCTCGTACTACTCTTTGAGGCGATATGATGACCATTAGAGAATTAGGACAATGTTGCAAATCAAAGACGAAGAAGGTTTAATACTAATAACAGATTTTAATGTCATTTTTGCATCAATATGATACCCAGGTGCTTTAACTTATAATATATCTAATTTGCTTTATTTGTTCAGAACAGACATTGCTATTTGATTATTTTACCTGGTTACACTTTACTGTTAACTACATAGTTAAGGCATTACAACTACTAAAGTGAGAACAGGGAGACAGCTTTTGCAATGTCAGCTTTACTGGCCAACAAAAATCTGTCAATACAATACAACCACTTTACTGTCTTATGAATAAATGAATATCACTATCTAACATGAATTATAGTATGACAGAGGGTTTTGTGCATTCCCTACTTCTATCTTTGTGAACATCAATTTGAATTTTAGAGTCTGGATTTATTTTGGTTAGCTGTCACTTCATTGCTTGATTTTAGAATCAACATCAGAATTAGATGTATATTAATGTTACTAGTTGATGTTAGGCATGTAGAGGTGGGTGGTGTGGACACATCTGTCCTTTCAAGAATAGAAATTAATTTGTGCTTGTGTTTAGGACTTTGAGATGAACCTGAAGCTGAAGATGTCGGTGGTCTGTCTCTTGGAGGAGGTTCTCAGAGACCCGGACCTTCTGCCTCAGGAGAGGAAAGCCACTGCCAACATACTAAGGTACAGCACACGCACAAATATGCACACACAAACACACAGCACACATATGAAGTGAATATAAAAGTGGAAACATTAATAGCTTCTGCTTCTGAAATTATTATGAAAGCACCCCCATATTCTGTTCTATCCTCTTCTGTTTTGTTGTTCTATTCTTGTATGTCCCATCTTATTCTGTTCTGTCCATTTCTATTCTATTCTGTTCTACTGAATTGTTCTACTCTTCTTTTCTCTGATTCTCTTTTGTTCTGTTCTATTGTAGTATACTCTATTCTGTTCTGTTCTATTGGCTTGTATTGTAGTCTGTTTTATTCTATTCCATTTTACTTTAACTAGTGCCCTTTCTCAAGATGATCAGGAAGATGCCCAGCTGAGGATAGAGGACATCTTACAGATGGTGAGAAAATAACATAAACCTTTTGTAATTGCAAACTTGCTCACTGATACATTTTTCTAAGTGACTTTGAATTCTCATGTCATTCACTATGGAATGACTTGGGTTTATGAAATTTGCCTTCCTAATATACTTATATATATTAATACCCTCCTCTCTCAAGAAATGAAAACAATCAGGGGTCACAAGCGCCCTGAGCTAAGTGTCTTGGCATAATAATGACTGGGAATCACAAACAGACAAATGTTGCCTTTGTAAGATGTGAGACGTCAGTGCACGCTGTCCTATCCGCTAGGCAGAAGGGGTAAATATATTCTCTGACTGTAATCGTCTCACAGGAGTTGACACCTGTCATAAAGCATATTCATCATAGCTAGGTTTCTTATTAGATATTTACTGTATATCTCTTTGTTACTTGAATTTGTGCCGTAGAGTATTTATTTGTTTGTTACTCTGTTTGTGTGTGTGCATGTGTGTTGGATGCGTGCTCGTGCGTGTGTTTAGGCGGACTGTGCGAAGGCAGAGTGTTTTGAGTCTCTCTCAGCGATGGAGCTGGCAGAGCAGATCACGCTGCTGGACCACATCGTCTTCAGGAGCATTCCTTATGAGTCAGTCCTCTCACACTGTGCTCTACATCAGGCCACAAAAAACTAAATGTCCTTCATTGATACTTTTTATTATGAGACCAGCTGATCCCCATGTATAGCATATATTTTACCGCCTCAAATATTGCATTTTATATTAGTTTCACTTAATATTAATTTTATATTGACTTATAACATATCGACATTATTGTGTGCTAAGCTGCTGCTATGATGAAGGTTTCTCCCTCTGACCAGCTTTATGAAACATCTATAACATCTGCAATCTTTAAGTTTAAAAAACTCTTTGCATCCCTGTCTATTTTTAATTGTTTCTTTGCCTCAGAGTCACTGACCTGAGAAAAATGTTTGTGAAATTAACAACCATTTGAAAAAATAAAGAAATACAAGCAGCTTTTGAATAATTAAAATGAGAAGTAAAGCTGTTTTGTAGTTTCTCAAACCTTTGTATTCTGGCTAAAAATAATCTTGCATACACCTGGTTCAGTTCTTGATTTCTCAACAGCCCTCATGACACCTCTTTTTTTATTCATGGCGCTTAATTAATTCAATAAATCTTTATCAGCCCCTGCTGTGGGCATGGTAATATCCTTAAGCCACAGGCTGGAGCTAATGTACTGTATAACTGAGATTATTGTGCTATATTTCAATGTATGTGATCTCATTTGATCCTATGTCTCTGTCCTTCCTCTCTAAGAGAGTTCTTGGGCCAGGGCTGGATGAAGGTGGATAAGACAGAAAGGACACCCTACATCATGAAAACTAGTAAACATTTCAATGATGTAAGCTGTTTTACTGTCTTTAAGAACCTTTTTGTGTCTGACCCTCCTGTAAATGCCCTGCAACACGTCCTTTTACATACTCTTTTTCTTTTTGAAGATGAGTAACCTGGTGGCGTCACAGATAATGACCCATACCGATGTGGGCTCGAGGGCCAACTCCATAGAGAAGTGGATTGCGGTGGCTGACATCTGCCGTTGTCTCAACAACTACAACGGAGTACTGGAGATCACATCTGCACTTAATCGCAGTGCTATCTACCGTTTGAAGAAGACCTGGGCTAAAGTCAGCAAACAGGTGGAAAACTTCTCCATCAGTCCTCTTTGCATATAAAACCTAAAATCTCTCTATAAAAACATGGTAATACTTAGTTTTATAGGTCTGTAAATTCAAGTTTATTTACAAATAATTTCCTAAAAAGTTTCCTGAAAAGAACAATATAATTTTGTATTAACTGTAGTTAAAAATTGAAAGTGATCCGTTGGTATATTTCTAGTTATTTCAAAATGCTAAGTTGGCACAACCATGAGGTTTTTATTCAGAGGACAGAAAGCGAATTTCACGTGCCAAGTGTGAAATGTGTCTACAAACAAACACAGTTCAGCATAAATAAAGAGTAACATATAATATAATCAGTGGTGGAAGAAGTCTAAAATTATTGGTGTATTATTGTGTACATCACAGCTACAGTAGTAAAGGTAGAACTGATGCTAAGTACCTTATACTCTATGCTAAGTACTTTACATTGTGCTAGGTAGCTTGTGAATTTCCCACCACAGATCAGTAAGTTTGATGATTATAATGTAATCTGTGTAATTAAATTCAGTCTGGAAAGTAACTAGTAGCCAAAGTTATCGAATAAATGTAGTGAGTAGAAAATAGAATATACAGTATTTCTGTAAAATGTAATGAAGTCGTTACATGAAGTAGCAGAAAATGAAAATCCTCAAGTAAAGTACAGATATGTCAAAATTGTACTTGAGTAAATGTATTTAGTTCCTTTCCACTTCTGCAGATAAGTAAATAAATAGCAAATATGAAGTGAAGTTTAAAGTGACCAGTGCTTTTAGAGAGTTCAGAGGAAAGACAATGCAGAAAGGCATTTACATGTAATGTTTACTATCTGCTCTTTGCTTAATTCTGATGAACACTTAATCGGTTAAAGCCATAATCATCCTCTCACCAAACAGCCAGTCTCTCCACCAAGCATCTCTCTGTTCATCTATCTGTTATTATCATCTTTTGTTAAGAGTAAGTGGACCTTAGATTAATGCACCTGTCTTGTTTGTCCTGTGTTGTTCATTATAATTTTTTAAATTATTTTAAATGTGTGCTTGTGGTCTTGTCCAGACTAAAGCACTGATGGACAAACTACAGAAGACAGTGTCCTCCGAGGGAAGGTTTAAAAATCTGAGAGAGACCCTGAAAAAGTGAGACTTTGCACATTTTCAGCAATTATACTCACATTTGACTCTGACACCATTTGTTATGCACATTATTTATCACACTGTCTTCCCACAGCTGCAACCCTCCGTGTGTTCCATACCTGGGAATGTATTTAACAGATCTGGCCTTTATTGAGGAGGGAACGCCCAATTTTACTGAAGAAGGTCTTGTCAACTTTTCCAAAATGAGGATGGTATGCACATATAGTACATACCTAAAATCCACAAAAGGATACATATCACCTGTGCATAAACACTGTACTTTGATAGTCAACTTAAATTCTAAATATTTCTTTAGATTTCCCACATCATCAGAGAGATCCGACAGTTCCAGCAAACTCCATACAGAATAGAGCATCAAATCAAGGTACTTTTCTGTAAATACACTGCATCATTTTTTCTAATAGGAGTGCTTTTTATTTCTGAGGAGCAACACCAAAGCAGCACTGTACATTGCTGAATGTACAATAATAAAAATTACTGATGGAGCACTTTTAAAAAGCCCAACTGCTTAACAAAACTAAAAACAGGGGAGTGAAAACATTAAAACTTTCCAATAAGACCAATGAAATCATAATACAAAATAAACAAAGAGTATCTTGGAAGCTAGTTTGTAGAACTGCAGTTATAAAACTATTTCAAATGAGTTACACAGTGTTTAACAACAGATCCTTTATGGAAGTACTGGTCTTGGCTGTTGTTGTGAGAGGATTATTGAAAATCCTTTTGATACATGGTAGTCTTCTGGAAATATATATCTGTAATATGTTTCAGAGCTAACAGCACAGCCCTGCAGACGTTATCTTAAATCACCAATCTTCTTGTTTGAGCTACAAGGGATTTAAACACCCACTGTCTAGTCTAACTAAAACACCTCATCCTTTAACTGAAAATTACAAAATAAACCGGTTGGCAGTCTGAAACTTACAGTACTTCTCCTGCCTTTCTATGCTTTATTTTCCAGGTGACCCAGTATCTTCTGGATAAGACTCTGATCATGGATGAAGACACACTCTATGATCTCTCGCTGAAGATCGAGCCCAGGCTTCCTGCCTGAGTTACAGTTGTTTGTGGCCAGTGGGAGCCTCCTGAACCTGGACCCCCAAGGGCAACATGCCCACGTAATCTCAATCAAGAGGAAATCGGGAAGTTTTGAGAGCAACACAGAAATGGAAGTAAGACTGACTTGAGCTCTCTTGAGAGTCGAGTACAAGGACAGTTGAAAAAGACTGAGAGTTTTACAAGAGGCTGAGGGAATATGAGAAGTGGGCAGACCAAGTCTTTTTAAGGCGGTGGCCTGAAAAGGAGGGTTTTGAGAGAAGACGTGTGCTCATTCCTCAGTGAAGACTGTGGTGCACTAGACATCACACAACCTGAGAGTGCAGGAAAGGCTGAGAGCACAGAGTGAATGCATGAAATACAGTGGATATAACAGAGATGTAGCACATACAGAAAGATGTCAGAGCTCGTGTGTCCGTGCTGTTGTCTGTGTTCTGTTGCCTGTGCGTTTCTGTGCCACGTCCATGGAGCAAGAGCCCCAAAAACGCTTTCTGTCATGATAGCAACTACATAGTACTTGCATGATTTCAGCTTAGGCTATAACTGTCTAAGGGTCTTCAACCTGACCCCTGACCTTCAGCTTAGCATGCTTCACTCCTACCAGGGTGACTCTCCAAGCCACTATGCATCCTCAGTGGGCTGGGTATGCCTTGAAGCCTTCAAATATAATGACAAAAGACACTAAAATGAAATGTATAAAGATAATTAAAATCAGAAAATTTGATGTATTTTGATGAAGTGGCTGATTTTTTTGTTTGTTTTTTACTGTTGAAATAATTTTAGCCAGTCCTTGCCTAAAAACTTCCCATGAAACTGCAGAGCTCTTTTTTATGTCCAGTGAATGATACAAAATTTTAAACTTTGCCTTCCATTAGTGTAGGTCAATTTACAAGGATCAAGTTGTGTATACACCAATCTGCCATAACATTACGACCACCTGCCTAATGCTGTGTACATAGTCAGTGTGGCAGTTAGCACAGTGTGGCACTCGTGTCACTCTGCAGCTCACAGCACATGTTGTGTGAATCTGTTTGCTTCCATAGTTATACTGTCTGAAAGAGCACAAATGTGTCAACCAGTCAGTGATAAAAATATGTTAAAGGAGTGAAAACTGTGGCTGTGAGGGCAAGTTAGAGAGAATTTTTTCAGACAAATTCAACAGCTTCCCCACTCTAGGTGTGATATCACCTCTATAGCTGCTGAATGTTTCTTTTCTATTCAGTCTCTTCAATGTACTGCTTTTCTAATTTTCAACCATTTCAACAAACGCTCAACAAATTATTTTTCATCTTTTGGAGTTTAAAACTTAATGCATGATAGGGCAACCTCGTCGTTACTGAGCCTTGGGCATCCATGACCTTGTCGCTGCTTCACTGTTTGTCCTTCCTTAGACACTGTTGGTAGATACTAACCACTGACAAGACCTGCAGTCTGGGAGATGCTCTCACTCAGTCGTCAGCCATCACAGTTTGGCCCTTGTTCAAGTCACTCAGATCCTTACGCTTGTTCGTTTTTACTGCTTCCAACACATCAACTTTGAGGACTGAATGTTCACATACACACACTGACGTACTAACCACTGCAGACTGGGAGATGCTCTGACCCAGTCATCGCAGCCATCACCGTTTGGCCCTTGTTCAAGTCACTCAGATCCTTACGCTTGTTCGTTTTTACTGCTTCCAACACATCAACTTTGAGGACTGAATGTTCACATACACACACTGACAGGAGCCACTGTAACCGGATAATCAGTGTTATTCACTTCACCTGTCGGTGGTCATAATGTTATGGCTGATTAGTCTAAATCCTGCTTCAAAATCTTAAGATTTCCTTTTAAAAACCGTAGCTTCACTCATTTGCCTGTGTTTTCAGAAACAGGTCATGTAGACTAAAGAGTAGCATGTTAGTGTGAACACAGTAATGTCACTGCAGCATCTGATTATCAGTAAATATCTCCCTCTAGTGTTTAAACATTGTTATAACCTATTGACCCACAGCTTTGGCGGCATTTATGTGCACTTTTCCCTTTTTTTTTCTTTCATTTTTTTTCCCAGCTGTTACAAATGGTCTGGTCCCAATGTGTAAGTGTTGGATGTAGGCTGGGACAGTTTTTGCACTCTCTGAGATGTAGCTTTGCTTGAGTGACAGTATGATCGTTATTTTCTGTGCTATTTATTTAATCAGATACTGTATTTATATTATTTTTGTATATAGTGACTCCACACATATCATATGATTGATGAAGAAATACTTGGAATTGTTATGTGTTAAATATAGATTTTATTGTTTTTTGTCTCTTTTGCTTTTATGTTGAGTTCTAGTTTTGCATCCTGGGCTCTTGTATTGCAAGAAATCTGTTTAACTTTATTCTAAAAAATAAGTCTAATGTCTTTTTAAGGTAAAAAAAAATGTAGCATTTGAATGATCTGAATTTGTTTACTGTATTGCTGATAAGATGAACATAGTTGTCCTGCATGCGCACAACAGCTGCATGTTGTGCATGTCTGACTGGATGTGCCCTGTAACCTGCTCCCTCTGCTTCTCTAAATTAATATTGTCTCTGTAGCTGTCAGAAGGCTCCGTTAAAAGACATAAAAACAATATTTTGTCCATTAAATCTGGCATGTTTGTTTCTTAGTGTATCTCACAAAGTCAAGCATAGTCTTCAGGCTATGCCATCTGTTGTTTAGCAGTAGCAGTGTTGGAAGTTATGCAGAAAAACTGTGTAAACAGAGGTCTTTCCTTATAAAGGACAGAGAAAATGTTTCAGGCTTTGCTTTTGGGAAAACTCTGTCCTTTGCACTGCATCTATAAATCTCAGTGTTTGAGTTACACGCAGGTTTGGGAATAGCAGATGCTATGTTTGCATTGTGATATTTTTGTGTTTATTTGTTTGTATTTTACACTTATAGGTGGAGGGGAAATAAATTCAACATGCCTTATGGGTTTGCACATTTTCTTTCACTGTGCAATAACCTCACTTATATTAAGTTGCTTCGCTTCTGCTTTCTTTGGCAGTGGCTGCCCTTAATTATAATCCCCATGTCAATTTCCCAACATTTAGGGCTCTAACAATCTCTGGTGCACCAATAAATTCAACAAACCTTAATTGCACTACTGAGGACAAATGGACATTTACTTTGCATGTATTAACCCAGAAGAAACCAACATCAGGCTACATATCAACAGTAAAACAGCGTGCACGTTTACAGCGGAGGCCACACTATCAACAGAGCATAGTTTAATTTAACTAAGACATCATCTTGAACATTTATTACTGACATCCAGGGTTTTATCTAGTGCTAGGTTCCAGGACTAGACAAAGTAGAATTCACCAAATGTAAACATAATGCAACTGAAATAAGAACTTCCATTTCAACTTGTACTAAGACTATTCTTCTGTATGGCTGCTTTGAAAGGACAACCACAGTTGATGCATTTTTAAACTACATATAAGATATGTCATATTCTTTGGCCTACAAAGACAGTTGTTAAGATATCCTTCTTGAAACAGTTCCTCAACCAGAAGAAGTTTCTCTTTGTTCCAAAGAGATGAAGTGCCAGAGCCACAAATATCAAATTTTCATATTTATCAATATACTGTACAGGCTACACACAAAACCATTATGATGTGTTAGATGTTTTGACAGGGTAGAAAGAAACTTAGCGTATTGTGTTATCGCTGATATTCTTATATTTCATGGCACCAGAACAACTGGTATGGCTGAACAGGGATAACACCAACTTCCATAGGGGCCTGGGCTGTCCTGTTGCCGTATATTTAACTGTACCAGTGGGTTTCAGTCAGCAGGATAGCTTTTGAGTTTGCCCATGTTATAGTATTAATTAAATCACTGGATGTGTATTCTAGCATAGCTTTGATTTGGAGTACCATCCCTTGGTTAGGGATGGTTGTCCATGTATTTATATGCCATCCTGGATTGTCATTAACTCTGTGTCTTCTCCATCTCATAGTTTGTGTTCTCTCCTTTCTTCTCTCTCCCTGTAGGTATCCTATCCACAGCTGTATGTTACTGATGAGCAGTCACCAGCCACATTAACCTGCCCACTCTTTGTTTGTTTGTTGTTTCATTTCTTGTGTCTTGATGCTTTTCTTTTCATTCACCCCAACTGGTCAAGGTAGATGGCTGCCCACCAAGACCCTGGTTCTGTCAGAGGTTTCTTCCATTGAAGGGGGGATTTGTTGGGTTTTTCTCCATAATAATGTAAGGTCTTGACTTTACTATGTAAAGTGCCTTAAGGTGAGTTTTTGTTATGATTTAGCACTATACAAAATAGTTGAATTGAACTGAATTGACAGAGGACAGTTAGCTTTGGAAGATGTCTGCACACTGAGTCTCCACATCCTCCACAATTGTTATTTCAGCAAATATCAGACTGGGAGAATTAGTTTGACCTTGCTGGTACAAAAGGCCTTCACTCTGTTCTGACAACCTCTGTCTCAAAGTCATGGCTTTGAACAACAGAAAGGTATCCACACTGTGACTCAACACCGTATCCATCCTGCCACCCTGTCGCCATCAATCGCGTTATTTCATTTGGCACCCATGACCTTTAAAAAAGCCACAATCTAATCTGCTCCTTGTCTTACTAAACTATATCAGTCAATAACATGCAAAAATTGCAAATATTTCATTATTTTCCTTTTTTTAATCTGAGCTACCAAGAATTTGTTGATGGATGAAAAGGTTAGATCTTGCATTTTCATGGGTAGGTATTCCCTTCTGCATGATTATAGTCTGAGATAAAAGTGCTGAAATGAACAATGTCAAAGTACAGGACCCTGAAAGGCTGTTGGGCAGTAAACAGTGAAACATGAATAAATATAGGGAGGGCATGATTCATTAAAGAATCTACCCTGTATTGATTTCACCTAAGATGTTATACTTACCAGCTATGATATCAAAGAGAGCTTTAAATATGAAGAGGAAACGCTGTTGGATCCTGTTTCAGTATTTACACTAAGAACAAGAAGTGACACCATTATTTGTGTTTGTGGCATGAAATAATGTATGTGTGAGGGGAAAGGGAGAGAAACCGAGTGAGATGGTCTAGACAGAGACAGAGGGAGTGAGAGAGAAAAATGGTTTGGCATGAATCACAGACAAGGCGAGAAAGTGTTTGTAAGGTGACAAAGTCATCGTTCAAAATGCTGTCACAGTTTTCAGTGCAGAAAAACTGACTGAAGCGTGGTAGTTGCAGGTTGTCACTGTTTGTCTCTCAGTAGGGGTGTTTTTTTGTAGATCAACATGGCTCGTGTCTCTGAGGGACAGATGGATGACACTTAGTTGAAGTTTATCACAACACTGTGAGTGTGACTTCTCAGTCTTTTTCAGTGAAAGACACCAACTCATGAGTTTAGTGGAAATGTGTGATACGGGATTTGAAATAGTGAAAAAGGACATTTGAACTTAGAAATGCGATGAGCAGGTAAAGATGAATGTGTAGTCTAAAATTTTAAAAACATGTAGTCCTTATAACAATATAAGCATATGCCTACGGTCTCCATGGTTGAGTAGTATTTGTATGGGTTACAACGAATTTGGGCTTGTAAAAACGTTTGCATAGAAAATCTTTGCAATTGTTAAATCATTTTAAATATGTATAGACAGGATATGCAGGCTCCTTTAAAACATTTTGAACATGTGTAGAAAAGATGTGTAATTATTTTGAAAATTAAGCCAGTTTGTGAACATAGACAGAAAACAAATTGCACATAGAACTCTCAAGTTACTAGTACGAATAAAGAGTTTTACACCCGAATCTGATTGGACAATGACCATCCAATCACACAAGAGAGTCAAGCTATCCAATCAGAGGGCAGTTGGGTGTCACATGGTTATCTCCACTGCAGGTCCCGCCTGATTAAACTGCTTATATTTAGATGAAAGTCGGTGTGGCTGCATCTTTTACACAGGTGGGTAGTAGTAGAAAAATCATAGTAAATGTGTTTAGTTGTTATTTTGAGGTAAAGCAGTTGGACAAATGTGAACTTTCGAGTTTAGGTGGGCTATTTTATCAAGTGTTATTCAGAATCGAATGTTAGTGTAGAAGGTTAGCAAAACTCTGTTAGCAAGAAGCGTTATCAAGAATCGAATGTTAGTGTAGAAGGTTAGCAAAACTCTGTTAGCAAGAAGCGTTATCCAGAATCGAATGTTAGTGTAGAAGGTTAGCAAAACTCTGTTAGCAAGAAGCGTTATCCAGAATCGAATGTTAGTGTAGAAGGTTAGCAAAACTCTGTTAGCAAGAAGCGTTATCCAGAATCGAATGTTAGTGTAGAAGGTTAGCAAAACTCTGTTAGCAAGAAGCGTTATCAAGAATCGAATGTTAGTGTAGAAGGTTAGCAAAACTCTGTTAGCAAGAAGCGTTATCCAGAATCGAATGTTAGTGTAGAAGGTTAGCAAAACTCTGTTAGCAAGAAGCGTTATCCAGAATCGAATGTTAGTGTAGAAGGTTAGCAAAACTCTGCTAGCAAGAAGCGTTATCCAGAATCGAATGTTAGTGTAGAAGGTTAGCAAAACTCTGCTAGCAAGAAGCGTTATCCAGAATTGAATGTTAGTGTAGAAGGTTAGCAAAACTCTGTTAGCAAGAAGCGTTATCCAGCTCAAGTCAAACCAGGCGTGTGTCCGTGTGGTTAGGGACTGTTAGCCATTCAGTGTACTTAAGCTTTGCTTGAGCATTTTTAATTAGGCTAATCGTTAAAGCCAGCTTCCATGAAAATTTATGATTTAACTAGTAACTTCCTTTGTTGGACCTGCACTAGATTTGCATCTTCTTGTTTTCAACACCATCAAGTAAATAGTGTGTAGAAGACATTGCTCTTTGACTTTTTTTGTTTTTTGAGTACCTTTTTAGGCAAGTAGGCTACCTGCACTTTTACTTAAGTATTGAATTCTTCTGCCACCTCTGTGTAATATGGAGCCTGCCAGTCATTATCAATGAACTTCCTGAAAAGCCTGTTTTGTTCAAATTTAATGCGGATTGAAAATGTAAGCGCATAAACAGTGAAAGAAATACCGGGAGATAATGGCGTCAGTAAATAACCTAATGTTAAATAACAGTGGCCTATTAACCATGGAGAGAATTGCATGGAGAACTTCATATCCAAATCTTGATTATTAGAGATTTTCATGAGTATAATGGGAAGATTGTTGCTCTATAAAGCTGCAGGTAATTGAGTTTTGTCATGCTTTTTAAATGTTTTTGACTGAGGGAGACCACACATATAGGTGAAGTTAATTCAATGCTATGTGTAAATGACAGATATTGTGTAGAAAATGTTAGACAAAGGCAATTTACATTTTCATTGTAATTTTTTTATCAATATATTTTGTGATACATTTTTAGTTGCAATAATTGACTTTTTTCTACTCAAGTAATATTGTTGTACATTCAAGGTGGCAGTGGCCAGAGGTGCCGATCTCTGGTGGCACAGGGAACACAGCTAAGCTGATGACGATAATCACCAACAATGGAAAACACCTTCTTCATTAAACTGTGAACAGGTAACTTTCACCACAATAATAAAATCTCTGGTACAATTTCAAACATAGATTTGTAAGATGCTCTGTGTGTACATGTCTTAGGGTGCAGTGTGTATTGTTGCATTGTTTTTTTTTGTTCTTTATGAATAAAGTAGAGGCGCAATATAAAGAAAAGAAAGGCAGGTGACACGCTAATATCACAAAGTTTTGAATCTACATTCTGTAGTACAATTAAAACCTACACAGCTGAAAATATTTTTATCATTTTGTAAAAGAATTACAGTATATTGACTGTACTAGTACTTTAATATTTTAAGCTGCAGTGTCTGTAGTGAGCATGTTTTGCTCTCTGTTTTAACGTTTTCTTCACTTTAGTACAGCTGAAATCTGGGACATTTTGTTACGGTGGTTCTTGACAACTGCTGACTAGTTTACAGTAAATTGCCTGATTAAATGTGAGGGTAAACAACTAATTGGAATTGTTAAAATTGTTTGTTAGGCTTGATGGTGATGAACCCATTTGGCCTGCAGAGGGACAGAATCAGCAGTCTTGCCTCTTCTTGGGACTTGCCACCAGTAAGTATCCCTTCATAATCAGTTTATTAATACACTGCCCAGGCAAATTATTAGTTGCACCTGTACAACTGTATGCAATTTAATACAATACTTAAATAAAAAAAAAGTGTTTATAAAATTCAGTTATTGAGGTCATAGTTAACAGCGGTGTTGTACTGGACTACATTATATTCAGGTGTTTCTAATATTCTGAGCCGCCTCTATGTAGCTGGGGAGGACAATAATATAGACACCTCTGAATGTATAGTACGCCACCTTTAATGATCACCTCAATTAACTGAATTTATAGTCACCAAAAAACATTTTTAGCTTTATAAAGCTGTTAAGGCAGATGTTACATTGAAGGCATTAATGTATTTACTTGTCTTTTACAGCCACTCCTTCAGTTGTGGGTATGGTGTGAAAATCCTACTCGCAGGGTCAATGTGGAGCACCTCTTCCACAGTTAAGATTTCTCCAGTCAAGCAATTGCATTGCAGCTCACATAACTGGAGAAGTCTTCATTGTGGAAGATGAGATGCTCTACATTAACACCTTTGACTTTGATCCTTCTTAGGACCCAGTTGGTAGTGTGTGGCATTCACGTGGACAGCAAAGCAAGAATGTTGTTGTAGAGGGAAACACGTTGACAAGGTTCATCGTGTAACTGGCTAATTTTAAAAGTAATGTTCATTGCTTGGTTGTGTCAGTTCTGCTTCATGTCCTTTGTCACCAGTTAAGAACCAGAAATGTACATATTAAGTCAAACAGCAGTGCAAATATTCATAATTGGAAAAGTACTTATGCTATTAAAAAAAGAGGATTAGCCATATAAAATTTCTCTGCACACTTAAATGTATTTTATTGTAATAAAGTCACTACAACTTTAAAGCTATCTGGTTATTCTCTTGAAGATGTTGGGGTCAGGGCTTCCAGTTCTTCAGTGTACAGGGAGGAGGCCAGTTCTGGTGCCTGTACTCTAGCATGATCCATGTCCACATTTGGGCCCCCTGGAATGAGACAATATTCACAGTATTTTTAAACTACATTGTGAATTACTCTGAAACCTGCAGAGTAATTCACTGCACATGTACAAGCATGTATTTCTACAATAACGGTGAAGTAAAAGATCTTAATACCTGCACAGTTTTCTGTCTTGCCTTAACGTCCTCAGTAGGCTTGACAGGACAGTCAAACCAGTTTCCCCACAGCTGGTTTGGGGTGTGATGTGTCATGTTTGAAATGAAGGTTGTTCCATCCCTCAGGATATGCCCAGCTTGGAGCAGGGGATGAGTACAGTTTGAGCCAGCGCTCCGTCTTCCTCAAGGCTGTGGAGGACATCCAACAGATGTGACATCCCAAACATCAAGCCACAGGCCCTCTATCCTAAAAACAAGAAGTTTGTTCTGTAAACCATTGGTCCATATCACAGTAAAATGGACATTCCACTGAATCAGGTAATCCAATTATGAAAGCAGATTGAACTGAAATCTTTACCTTTGGTTAGGACAATTTTTTCCCTGAGATGACACTTCCCCATCACAGCCTTGCATGTCCACATTCTCAGCTCCTTGGTTCCCCCTCTAATGTGAATCAAAACAAACAGATTTTACATAAATCAGTATTGTCAATGTTAAGATGGGCAGTGTTTCACCATCAAACAAATGCCTTGCAGTGAATGCCTGGTTTGTTGCTGGCCATTTAGAGGAACAGGATCTGTGATAACAGTTTCAAGTCAACTCAGACTACTCAAAGTTGCTCAAACATTCCTGTTATTAGACATTTCAGTGAATTAAATATTAGATGATTGTGTACAAATTCTGAGGTGCACAAACTCCATTCCATTTTCCTCCACTTATCCAGAACCGGGCCACGGGGGCAGCAGTCTAAGCAAAGATGCCCAGACTTCCCTCTCTCCAGACACTTCCTCCAGCTCCTCCGGGGGAAGGCCGAGGCGTTCCCAGGCCAGCAGGGAGACATAGTCCCTCCAGCGTGTCCTGGGTCTTCCCCTGGGCCTACCATCAATTAACTTAGTGTTTTGAGTAATGAAAGCCAATCAGTGCTGATATCAACCAAATTACTTCAATACCATCAAGTCTCCATAAATGCTTTTCTACATTTGTAATTATTGATGCTAATGTTAACAGGACTTAAGGTTGTGGTAGCAGAGTTTCTTCCACCACTGAAAAACTTATTGTTTTGGCCTAATAAAAGAATACAGCCAAGATACTTCTGAAGTGGTATGAAGGTTTCTTATGTAATCTACACAAAAGTTGGACACTACAAATCTCAATCATTTGTATGTGCACCGTCCTGTGGAACAGGCTACATCACCACCAATGTTACATTGTTGAAACTAATGTGCGATCAGCTGCTGGTTTTTCTACAAGAGACGCCTCACTCCATTTCTCACTCTGCTGGAGTTGTAGTTACAGAAACACTGAATAATCGGTGAACTGAGTGTTTAATAGTTGGTGTTCAAGGCTGTTTTCTCACCTCCCTGCAACAAGCACACACACACCTGACAACAGTTTTCATTATGCCTGTCTTAACGTTAATTAACTTTAATTAATAAGGCAGGGCCAAATAGAAGAGCTCATTCATACCATGCTAAAGTTTGCATCCAATTCACAGGCTCCGGTTTGTCAGTTAAGGGGAATATTAAAGGAAATAAGTTATAACAAAGGGATATTTTCTCAATTTTTTCATCTCAATGTTGTGAAATGTGTCGGGCATTATAGAAAAGACCTTAACACTTAGTGAAACCTAGTTTTAGGTGTTTGCTATTTTTGCAGTTGTAAATAAGTTTTCAGTTACTGGGTTTTTGTCCCCTACCTAGCCCATGTCAGACCCAGTGGCCATCCTAAACCATATACTTAAATTTGAAGAATCTGTACTTGGTTAGAGTTTATAGAGTCTTTAAAACCATAACAAATTTGTGAAACCTTTATTCTATTTATGACAATGCTCCAAAGTGCGATTGTATTTTTTGTACAATTGTAAAATTGCCTCTTACTGCGGTTACAAATAAAATAGTTTTCAAAGTTAAAAGTGCGTTTCACTAAGTGACAGGGACCTTTCTAGAATGGCTAACGCCCTTGTGTAGCACACTGAGATGAACAAACTCGTAGAAAACGGGGGAAATACCGCTTTGCATTATAATTTAGGTTTCCCCTTGACTGCAAAATCTGTGGATCGGTTAGATTAAGCAGGTTTAATGATTAGTCTGACAGTGATTAAAGTTGCACTCAAGCAAAGTAAGCATAGGCTGAATTTACTCTTGAAACGTTTCTTGCTAGCAGATGTTAGCTAAAGTGAGGCATTAAAATTAAAATCTGGCTAAGTAGCCCACCCGAGCTACAAACTATACATTTGGACAACTGCGTTACCTCAGAACAGTGAAGCACATTAAATGTGCTGCGATTTTCTAGTTTCTTTTGAAATTTCTACCCACCTGAGTAGCAGCAGAGCAGGCACCGACCCATCGTCCATCATGAAATTCTACTACAATCATACCTCGACTTTTATAGCCTCTTGCAGTGACCAGGTGAAGGGCTGAACTGCCCTGATTGGAAAAGTTTGACTCTACTCTCTGATTGGATAATCCATCCATTATCCTGAATCTGATTGGATAATCGTTATCCAATCAGATTCAGGTGTAAAAACAACTCAGAATTTGTAATATTTATGATTTGGTGCTCATAACATAAGTTAATGTAATAACAAGTTGTAGGTGAAATTTATTTATTTATTTTTTATCTGTACACAGATGTTCACAAATGCTTAATTTCAGTGTTTTATGTAACAATTTGTTTTCACATTTTCAGGTGTTCAAAAACATTTTTACTAGTAGAAATCTTTTCTACAGATGCTCCAGAAGGTAAAAACATTTACTATATTTAGCGATACAAATATACAATTAAAACACCTGAAATACTGGGACAGTCTGCGAAAGTAGAGGCTATTCTGGCCTGGTAAGTGTGGAAGGTAATGTTCATGTCAATGATTTATCACAGATCTCAGGAATTGCTGGATGTCGTATTGCAGCTAATTGATCATCCCTGTTATCTTATTAATGTGGGCGAAGAAGCATAATTTAAGGTCTTTTATGAACAGTGTCATCTTTAAAGAAGAGTACATGAAATAAAACAATAAAACCTATAGACAGTTTCTATTTATGCATCTGTTTGTGTGTGAGTGCATGTGTGAGGAGGAAGACAGACATGATGACTGACAGTAGAAAGAGGATTTACTGTCTGTTGCCCAGAGGCTAATCCTAAAACAGTGTCCCCATCTCTATCTTTCTCTCTGATCCCATTCCTGTTCTACAGTCTGCTCTCACTCTGCAGATCGAGTCTCTCTGGACTGGGCTGCAGGATACACACCTGCCCTCTCTTGCCTCTACTCTTCAGCTGTCCTCAGGTGAGTGATGGATTCCCTGTCAATAACTTCTCATTTCTTGGTTTTGCAGGTCCTTTCCTGATTCGTGTTTCTTTCCTGTTTGTGCAACAAGCAAGAACTACTGCAGTAACTGTGACGAGTAATGGGCAGACTGACTTCTCCACTAGGATTTGAACCTTTAACCTTCCGGTTGGGAGACAACTGTTTTTTTTTTTTTTTTTTTTTTTGATCCCATTAGGGGCATCCGCTTTCCTCATAAAAAGAAATCCATATGCAGTTTTACTGTTGTGAGAACATGCATGAGTTAATCAGACTACTGAATGTTTTGAATAGTTTATAATAATAACTGATGCTTTGTTTCACAATATGTATGCACAGAACAAGAGACTCCAATCTTTTCATCAGCTCTGAATCCTAGCCAATCAAGGGCCCCTATTACTCTTCTGATGATAATCCCTCTAATCCTACCTTATTCTACCCTCTTTACTCTTTAACCCCTCCTTTTTACCTTAATGTGAAGTGATCCCAAACATACAGTATCTTACACTCTCCCTGACTCCTTCATTCAAATCAAATCAAATCAAATTTTATTTGTATAGCGCCAAATCACAACAAAAGTCATCTCAGGACACTTTACAAAGTAAGGTCTAGACCTTACTGTTATCAATATTATTACATAGGGAAAACCCAACAAATCCCCCTTGAGCAAGCACTTGGCGACAGTGGGGAGGAAAAACTCCCTTTAAAGGAAGAAACCTCCGACAGACCCCGGCTCTTGGTGGGCGGCCTTCTGCCTCGACCGGTTGGGGTGAGTGGATAGAGGAGAGACAAAAGAAGAAAAGCAACAAGACACAACAATCAAACACTGATCAGGTCGATGTGGCTGGTGACTGCTTGTAAGGGACGCAGAGCTCCAGGGCCAGGGCAACCTGCAGAAAGGTACAGGGAGAGAGAGAGAGGACACCTTTTGCGTGCGTCTTGTGTTTCTGTAATGTAAAAAGCAAGTAAAGTAAAAAGTAATACCTAATAAAGAACTTGAAAACTACCAAACCATTATCTTACGGAGCTATCCAAAGCCACTTATATGGTAGGAAAAGTTGTTCATTTTACAACCAGGTGTTAGCCAAACAGGTACCTGCAAATGTTAACCACATGTGTTTCTTGCGAGTGGGGTGGTAGCATATATTTCACCTTCCCCCTCTTCATAAAATATTGCTAGGAACCACAAGTAGACCTGCATTCACACAGCAAGATGCTCTGGTGGGATGATAAGGCTCTATGAGGTCTTTAATGGAGACTTGTCATTAAGGGCTTTTTATGTTAGGAGAAGGATTTTAAATTTTATTCTGGATTTTACAGGGAGCCAGTGGAGAGAAGCTAATATAAGAGATATGATCTCTTGCTAGTTCCTGTCAGTACTCTGGCTGAAGCATTTTAGATTAAGGCTTTTTATGGAATTATTGGGACATCCTGATAGTAAAGAGTTACAGTAATCCAGCCTGGAAGTAACAAAGGCATGGACCAGTTTTTCAGCCTCACTTTGAGACAGGATGATCCTGATTTTAACAGTTGATTGTTGGGACAAACAGCTCGGAGTCGACCCCTGACCTTGACAGGAGAGATCTAACCCAATGTATGGTGTGTTCCCTGTGTTTTTGACTCGGCTTGTTCCTCTGACTATTCTGTTCTGCCTTGCCCTCTTGCTTCAGACTGTCACTGTGTATAATTATCGGACTTCCCTTTGGACTACGTATTTGGATTCCTCTGCTGTATGTGTTTGCTGGCTCTGATCTCGGACTGTTTATACCGACCTGTGATTTTTGTGTTTCACCGTGTCTTGTATGGTTTTGTTTAGCGTTAGTTCTCTTATTAAAGAGACGGTTTTGTTTTACATTTCCTTGTCTGGCCTTTTAATTGAGTTCACCCTCAACATTTTTGGCAGCATAACGCGCCGATTCCTGACATGTGGTGTGTGCGTGTGTGTTTGTCTTTATATACTTGTGCGAACCAACCCCTGATGGAACACCTTTCTTGTGTGGACATTTCATTGGTGACTTTCACCAATGCGGTTTCTGTACTATGATGGACTCTAAATCCTGACTGAAAATCCTCAAACAAATCATTCTTGTGCAAGTGGTCACATAACTGCTTTGCAACAGCTTTTTCAAGGATTTTGGAAATAAATGGGAGATTGGATATTGGTCTATAATTAGCTAGGACACCTGGGTCAAGAGTAGGCTTTTTGAGTAGAGGTTTAATTACTGCAACTTTAAAAGCCTGTGGAGCATAGCCTGTTAATAGAGAGAGCTTAATCAGATCTAGTATGGATGTGTTGATTAGGGGAAAGATGTCTTTGAGCAGCCTTGGATGGGGGTCCAGGAGACATGTTGATGATTTAGATGAAGCAATTGTTGAGGTCAACTCAGAGAGATCTATAGGAGAGAAGTAGTCCAAGTATAAATGAGGTCTTACAGATGTTTCTAAAGCCATTCAACTGTATCTGTCTTTAACTCTCTTCTCTACAAGTCTTTCTAATTCCCCACACCTCCAGTCAAACTCAATTCCACTCTTCCTTTCAACTCTCTCTCTCTCTCTCTCTCTCATTATTCCCAGTATTTATCCCACTCCTCCTCACCACCCATCCACACCATGTTTTCCTTCCTGTCTTGTGTAAGCTCAGCTGACCAGCCCAGGATGTCAGAAAGAATCATGTGATGTCCTGGGCTGATGCCAATTCTGAGCTGGTATTTAAGCTTAACCTCTGCTATAGTCAGTACTGTGTGAAAGGTGACTCTGACCTGGGACCCATAATGCACATTTATATGATGGCTAATCAGAGCAAAAGATACAGCAGTGTGTGATAGGAGTGCTGGAATATTAACCTATTCTTCATCTTATAATGCTACATTTATTTTTTCTACACTGTACTTGTTGCTCAGTATCCAATCACAAATCATCGCTCAGTCATCTGATCACCTTATCTGGCGGCTCTCCCAGGGTGGCCAATCAGAAGGCTTCTGTCTGCTTCTAGAATAGTCTCATCACACAATGAGATCCCAGCAGTACTTGGGAACCACCACCCTAACACCCACTGGAAGTGCTCATCATGTATTGGCACAAAGGATGGATAACATTGTGTTTTTGATTTTTTTTTTTTTTACTCTTAATTATGACCAAATTCTTTAATGCTGTTCCTTCTGAGCACTGTGGTCACTGTGGTTGATTAAAAATTAAGATATATTTTAAGTTCTGCTATTTTAAAAAATAGTAATTTAAATAAAAGCTACAACTAATACAACTACAAAAAGGAAAGTGAATTGTAAAGCCTTGGATTGCTCTAATTTCATCACTAAGGGATTTCTGAAAAATAAAAATAATAAAAAATCCACAGTGTTGCTTTAATGCTGCACATTAAATACTCTGCTATGATATTTATAGGCTGCAGAATGTTGCCATTAAATGTGCAGTTTAACACATTAGCAGTCATCTGACATGTTGTTACTGTCTAAGATCGACACAAACAGCACCTTACACTGGCAGAACGTGTAATTTTACTTTTTTGAATAAATAAATTACACACATTGAAGCTGACAGAAAGTCACTTTGCTCTCTGACCATTCACCAGGTAATTACCTAGACCGCATCACCATGGCAACCTCATTCACCCGTATGATATCTGGCCGTAATGAGGGAATGATTTTGGCCGGCATGGGAGCTGGCACACTGGCATCTGGATACCTCCTCAGTGACAGCTCCACTGCTGCTGAGAGGAGGAAGTTCTACCCACCCAAGTACATGTGTGTCAGTGAGTACCTGTGTAGTTGTGAGGTAGTTTAGTAACGATCACCTGGACAGTCAAGTTGGCTGCCTCGGTTCTGTACCGGAAGCAAATTCCTTGTGTGTAACATACGTAAAGGTGATTATTACAGTTTCAGTTAAGGAGAATAGTAAGGCATCAATTAACTACAATTGTAAACTAAACTAAACTAAATTAGACATCAGTACATTTCAGCATGTGTTATCTCAGCAGACTGAGATTTCAAAACCTGTAATTTATACAAAAACTAACTAAAATAATATATTTGACTTTACTGAGATGCAGTGTATACATGTAAAAACCTTCCAGCAAAGTGAAGTGA